TTCTACTATGGCACTTTTTCCCATAGCCTGAGCTAAGTTATTCATGTTAACTTCCAATTCATGGGGAGCAAAATTAAACACCATTGGTTGGGATGGAAGATATAGAACAATATGCAGTGTAGGTCAACTTTGAAAAAAATGCAATCTATGGAAGGAGTTGTGAGCTGCACACACACACACACATACACACACACACACATCCATATTACTATCCATATTTTGTAACATTTTCCTCAAGCCCCCTATCATTCAGTTTCTCTTTCAGCTCCATCTCATCCTCCTGCAGACCAACAGCATGCAATAACATTGGCTTTTCTAACTTCATTTCTACAGAATCATTTAGTATGCACCCTTCCGACAACTAGACTGATTTTGAGCTTTGTGTATGTCACAGCATGTAGCAGTAGTTTATTCTTCATTATCACTTGAGAAGAACACTAGTATATAAACTTACTGCTTTTTTTTTACATTCTGCTGTGTGTTTATTCATTCAACTGAGGACAGAGCCCAGCCCCAGAGTTCAAGACCCACGAACAGCCAAAAAAAATACTATATTCAATATTATCCATTCTAGTTATTGGTCTCATTTAATTTTATATTTCCATTTTAAATTTCTGAAGGTTACAGGATATCAGGAGATGTGTTTAAACTTTACAAAAGGAAACTTTTTTATACTGTTGGTAGTAATATAAATTAGTACACCAACATAGAAAATAGAATTCAAAATAGATAGGCTGGAGATGTGGTTCATCAGTATCACACTAGCTTCCCAAGTGCCAAGGCTCTGAGTTCAAACCCTCCAAAAGAATTCTAAATAAAACTACTATATGTTCATGCAATCCCACTTCTGAGTGTATTTTAAAAAGAAATCATTATGTGAAGGAGTTATTTGCCCTCCCATATCCATTTCATCTTTATTCAAAATGGCCAATATATATAGAATTGATATTGGTTGATAAATATGTGGCTACAGCAAAAGGATGTATAAACTTATACTGGAATGTTTGGCTTTAATCAGAAGAAATCCTGTCCATTGTACAAAAATAGATGAAACTGGAGGACATTATACTTGGAAATTTCACTTATGTGTAAAGTCTTAAAAAGTCAAGGTCTGTTTATCCAAATGAACTCCAGGAAATAAAAACAATCTTTTTTTTTTGCTGTTTTAGTTTTCTTTTCATTTTGTCCTGTTTGTGCATTTATACTTGTTTGGGAGTATAAGGGGAGGCACAGAAATGGAGGGACAAAGGGTAAACAAATGCAGCAGTGGCACTCATTGGACACTATGTCAAAAATGTACTATATACTTTGTGACTGGGGATGGGAGAGAAAAATTGGGAGAGTGAGAGAAGGGGTGACATTGTCCAAAACGATATGTACTCTTTACCTCATTTATGTAACTGTAACCACTCAGTATGTCACTTTTATAATAACAATAATTTTTAAGTCATGGTCAAAGGAGCAGAGAATAACATTCTGGTTATCAGGGAGGGTCTGTGGTAGTTGTGGAGATGGGAGCTCTTAGCTACATAAAGTTAGGGAGGGTGGCAATTAAGTTAGGGTCAGAAAGTTCTTCATATCTCATGCAGCCTGGTGACTACAGTTAAGAAAAATGTATGCCTGAAAACTGCTAAGAGAATTAATATTACATGTCATCACCATAAACATCAAAGTTATTTGAGTGATGAGTTTTTTAGGTAACTTGATTATACTTAATTACTGTACAATATACAAAATACACACATAGAAACATCATATATTATATATATTTATTTTTTGTCAATTATTTCTCAATGGGGCTGGCTCTGTCTGAGTGGTTTGGTTATGAATATAATTTTAAGTATGTTCACATGGTTGACAGAATTCAGACAGATCCCATGAGGCTGTAGGATTGTTTATTGTTTTCACTTTTCCTTTATTATTGTTTCTGGATCTTGGGTGATTATTTCTAGCTTTTAAAGGCATTCTGTTATAAATTATAGATAAGCACTATATTGCAAAATATTACCTGTCATTTTAACTTGTACTTAATGCAAGTTAAATTTGACAGCTTTTAAGATTATTCACCATCTCCACTCAGAGCTCAGAGCTAAATGGTCCTTTTGCTTATAGGTATGATTGTACTATGAGTACAGTAATTCTCTCTTTAGTTTTCAAATTGCAGTTAAGCAATTACCATTATTAACAATTTCCATTACTGGGAATGTATACATTAATTAAGTTTTAATGAAAAGTGGTTTATTAGATTTATTTGTTCTATAAGTTCATTCCCTTATTTTCAACTAGTAATGAATACATTGAAGTGTGGTGTGCTGGGGAAAAAAACTGTGTGAACTAATGTCTGTTGTAGAATCAACCAACATTTATGGGAGAACATTCTTGGTGCAGCCTTGACTATTGTTTTGAAAACTGCATACATTTAAAAATTTTTAACATTAAAAAGTGCTATATCATGAAAAACTATAAGAAATTACATTTCCTTTGTTGGCTGTTCAGTCAAATACATTCTTTCAAAAGTCCTTTAGGTGGTGTGTGTGTGTGTGTGTGTGTGTGTGTGTGTGTGTGTGTGTGCGTGCACGCACGCACACATGTGAGTGTGCATGTGCGGCACATTTGAACTCTGAGCCTGAGTACTGTCCCTGAGTTTTTTGCTCAAGGCTACTAGCACTCTACTACTTAAGGCACAGGTACATTTCTAGCTTTTTTTTTTTGAATATAAGTCTCATGGAGTTTGCTGCTGAGGCTGGCTTCAAACCATGATCTTCAGATCTCAGCTTCCTGAGTAGCTAGGGTTATAGGTTTGAGCTACCAGTATCCATCCTTCTTTAGTTTTAAATTTACTTCTTTATGTTTTACACCAATGACACTTAAATAATGATATTTATTACTTTGCTAGATAAGAGCATATTCAGAAAGAACGTAGTTTTTTTTTAGCAACTCAAAAAGAATCAAACAGGATGTGATATACCTATAAAAGAAATTACTATTTGGGGTTTCTTAATTAAAAAAAATTCAAACTATCACTATTTGGTTTATTATTGTTGCCACACTCACCAAACACTTTGATTTTTCTTAGGGAAAAATGTCTCCTAAAGCTTGCTTTGTGTTTTGTCATGTATAAGTTATAATACATTTATTAAAATCATGAAAAAATTGATTACTTAGCTAATTATATTAAGAATAAAGACAAGGGCTGGGAAGGTGGCTCAGTCGTAGAGCACTTGCCTTGCATGCCTGAGGCCCTGGGTTCGATTCCTCAGCACCACATAAGCAAAAAGAAAAAAAGCCGGAAGTGGCACTGTGGCTCAGGTGGTAGAGTGCTAGCCTCGAGCTGAAGAGCTGAGGGATAGTGCCCAGGCCCAGAGTTCAGGCCCCACGACCAGACCCCCCCCCCAAAAGAATAAAGACAAGGGCTGGGAATGTGGCTTAGTGGTAGAGTGCTTGCCTAGAATGCGTGAAGCCCTGGGTTTGATTCCTCAGTACCACATACATAGAAAAAGCCATAAATGGCATTGTGGCTCAAGTATTAGAGTGCTATCCTTGAGCAAAAGGAGCTCTGGGACAGTGCCTAGGCCCTGAGTTCAAGCCCCAAGACTGGCAAAAAAAGGACAAGATTTGAAACAGAGTAGGATAATTATAAAGCAAAATATTAAAAATAAATATGTTTTCCAAGATTTTTAAATTTTCTCCAGTTTATGCTAGAGTTACAAAATGAATTATAAAGCACCATATAATGTAATCAGAGAGTCACATAGCTGGTGAAGTCAATTGAGTATTAGAAGCAGACGTATCATCAGCAATAGATAATTATGACTCATTTTTGTACTGGATATTTTCCCATTGCCCTTCACATGTGCTTGCCATCCTTCCCATTGCCCTGTGCCTTCTGCTGCTAGTTTGGTTCACTTAATGGGAAGCAATATAGGCACATGAATAGCTTGGTGCATGGATGGAGAAGGAGGCAGAGTTGATACAGCTTCCTTTTAGAAGGCAGATTCAGATTGGTTTTTATTTCTGCACATAAAGAACAAAGCTTTTTCCTCAACACTACTCTCTAGACTGGTGGTGTAGCCCAAAGTGGTTGAGTACAAGCCATGAGCAAGAAAGCTGAATTAAAGTAGAAGGACCTAAAGTCAAGCCCCAGTCCTGGAAAACAAACAAACAGACAAATAAATAAATACAAAATACTTCTAGGTTTTTCTTCCTTTTCTATTGTAAAGGTGCAAGCAGTTCTCTGCCTTGGTAGTCTCTGAGAACTGAGGTCTTTGGAAAGAATTTCTTCTTTTTGTTACCCCATTTCAGTGTACCCGATATTTCATTCCAAAATATTCACAGATATAGATGGTAAGTTTTTAAATTTTGCTATCATAAAAATGAGATGCACATGATTTAGTGTAAATATGACTACATAATCATGGCCTTGGTGATTAAATACTTTGCAAAAGATAAATGGTATGTCTTAGTTTTAGTCAAGTATTCCTCAAAAGAAAAATTGGTATGAATGTGAGACTATGCTGATAAGGCACAATCTATATGACAAAAGGTTAAGAGACAGGAAAAAGAAAAAAATTATCTTAGTAATTCAGAAGCATTTATGCCAGGCTCTATTCCAAATAAACTACATGTGCTGAACTGTTTATTTCTCACAGGTATTTTGTGGCCATTTTACAGATGTGAAAACTGAAGCACAGACAGTTTGGTAGACCTGTTGGTCTGATTGTATGACTACTTTTAGTTTTGCTAATACAAGTGCTAAATTATAACAAGTATGTTATATGACTCGACAAGCTTATAATAGCAGCATAATAGAAGCCATATGAATTTTGTTGATAAATTGCATTTGATCAAATATGTGAGTTTAAATTCAAATTGTTCCTAATAAGCTGTTCTTAAGCTTGATTATCCACATATCATAAATTTGCATAATGTCTATTGTGTACTGTTAGCGAATTTGTATTTTAATCAATTTTTTCTAATATAAATTTAATGTTTTTCTTTAGGCTGATGGCTTTTAGCAAGTCACCTAGGGTTCATAAAATTGGAGCCATGTCTTCCACTTATCAAGAAGAACTTTTACAATTTCACTTAGAAAATCTGAAAGGAAAACAGAGCCAAAAACTAAGGTAAAATAGAAAACAATGTATTATTAGAGTATGGATCATATGCGTTATGGAAAATTTAGAAAGCTCAGAAAATCATGAAAAACTAAAAAAAATGACATATTGTTTGGCCAAAGGTAAAGTGTTAAATATTACTATTTTTCAAATAGCTTCACTTATTTAATGTTCATAATTATTTTGGCTATTTTTAATTTTATGAATTTTATCTGGACTTGTGTATTATATACTTTTATTTGATATGAAAATTATATATATGTATTTTAATTTGCCATGGCAATACATAATATGTTTAAGATAAAGTCTTTAATAGCCTCTACATTGTAAATCTCTGTAGTTATTTCTTAGTCTTTTGTTGTTTTATATTTAGCCACAATAAAATGTTTTTTTCTTTATTTGAAGTTATTTTCTTAGGATAAAATTTCTAAAGGGAGTGCAACTTAAAATAACTCACAAAAATTTTACTATTTTATTTACATATACTATTTTAGTTTATATATACTATTTTACTATTCTCAAGGAATGTGTTTTCCTTAGTTACCTTTTGTGTCCTTTTTCTAATACCACAGTAATACATGTATAAAGGAGCAGGAAAAGTCATTACATATCAAGAGCCCTAGCGTGGAGAACATGAAATTCATATTACACCGTCCAAAATTGTGAGTGGTTTTGCTGTAATTTATGAAAACATAGATGTAACATAAACATACTACATTGGTGCCTCTAAATCCTCAGGGATGCTAGAAATAAAAAGCAGCAGGACCTAATTAAACATTGACTAGACCATTGTCTAATAGAAAAATGATAAGTAGAGGAAAAATAATTAGTACAAAACTATTTGCAGCAATCGTATTGATAGTGTGGCTCAGTCAGTGAAAGGCTTGCCTAGTAAGCATGAGGTACTGAATCAAACCGCAGAACCACACACACAAAAAAAAGATCACAGAAAGATTAATTACATTTAAATTTTCTAATAGCCTAAATGCCTAATATAGAGTGGCCTAGAAACTGAAGTACATCTATATAGGGGAACATGTTGGAAATGCTTATAAGAAGAAAATGGAAATTTTAAAACATATTATTCATGCAATAATAAAGTGATTATAGCAAATGTAGATTTCACAATTCATAAGGAATGAGTATTTTATAGAAAGTTAATCTCTTCATGAAATAAATTTAAAGAAGATATTAATAGATATCTGGAGGAGGATAGATTCTTCATCCAAACTCATCTGAAAAGTACTGAGGAAGTAAAAGTTTTCTTCATTTCAAGAGTTCTCAGATTTTAATACGCTAACATGCAATGTCTATGTACATTAAGAGGACAAAATGGCAGAGTTCCTGCTATTTATGCAGCCCTTTCCAACAAAATGAACCCATGGAACATACTGTAAGGAGTATTCATTTACATTGAATGTGCATTAGTTTTTCCCCCATTGGAAAAAGGTCATGCCACAAAGTGTAAACATATATATTACTTTTAATTTTTGATCCATAAAAACACTGAGGATATTTTCTAAATATTTTTAGCTTTTATTTATATTGTATTTTGAAGGTGTATTTAAATAGCATTACACTTAACACTTTTATCTGTGACTTTTATTTATTTATTTATTTTTTTGGTCGGTGGTGGGGCTTGAACTCTGGGCCTGGGCATTGTCCCTCAGCTCTTCAGCTCAAGGCGAGCGCTCTACCACTTGAGCCACAGCGCCACTTCTGGTTTTTTGGTGGTTTATTGGAGATTAAGAGTCTCACAGACTTTCCTGCCCAGGTTGGCTTTGAACCATGATCCTCAGCTCTCAGCAGCTAGGATTACAGGCGTGAGCCACCAGTGCCCAGCTTGACTTGACTTTTTAAAAAGCAGGTTGCAAGAATTATATCTCTCAGTAGACCATAGAATGTAGAAATTAGTATGGGTTATCCACTTCCTCCACTCCCTCCAGTCTACTATTTCCCTTAGTCAGGATTTATCGGATAGGTGCTAGCCAACAAACATTTCCATGTTATATTGTCTGATTCCTAGCTATTTAATGTATGGAAGGAAAAAGGAGGAAGCTCAGCATCTGGGTAATAAAAGTCAAAAACACCTTGAGGAACTCTTTAATAATCTGCACAACATTTATGTCTAATGTAGGCACTGATCAGTAAGACCCTCCAAAATGCCGTACCCTCTCATTTTGGAGAATATTTCCATATATCAGGATTTTACTATTCTTAAATCCAACTGAGTTTCACTGATCTCATAGCCTACTATAGGAGAAAAGTAGAGCCACAGGTGACCTATATCATCTATTCATTTTTCTAAAAATGTTTCAAATGTCCTGGAAACGTATTTACACAGCTATTCCTCTATGCTTCAAAAATTATTCAGATCTCAGAATCATCATGTAATTTGACCCGAACACAAATCTGTTTCTTGCCATGTTCCATGCCCAATGCATTGTTCAAATCGTTAAACTTTTATTAGTCATGGAAGCTAAAACATCATATCCCTAATATTACCCATTGTGTCCCCCCAAAAAGTGATTGGCTAATGAAATATGAATCTTTTCCCCCATGGTCTGGCATTTGACCCAAAAGGAGTATCATAGAAAGTTAGTCCTATGTTGTAGAAATGATAACCTAAGAAATCAGTCAACCGTGAGGGCACTTTGTGCTTCCCTCACACAGTTTAGGATAAACTGTGGTCACTATGGTAGAGACTGATAATTATCCCTCTTGCATAGCCATACTCTATTTCTCCATACTAATGTAACTTTTAAGCCAGTATTTTCATGTTCTCTCTCTTTTCAGAGGTTTTCTTTTGAGGGGAGGGGCCTGTTTTTGTTATTTTATTCTGCTTAAGTCTGAACCAATAAAGGTTGTCTGATTTGGAGGCTTTAGTTCAGTGGGAAAGAGCTTCTCAGAACCTTAGCTGAGGTCCCCTACATAGAAAAATAGAGTAAAAGTTGTGACTGTTCTTATTCGGGCTTCCTGAGTCAGCCTCCTATCCTTCCAGACACCAGACATTCTCCACTTAGCCTGTGGCATCTCTTGCAATCTCCCAGCCAGCTTACAGTCTGTCTTCTAAACAACCAGAATTCAGTTCCTCAGTCAGAGGCTACAGTGCTCTCTCTTTCTCCTCATATATATATATATATATATACATAGTGTATCGAGTGGGTATCAGAAAATCAGGGGACTTTGGTGTATTTTAATTTGCATCATCTTCTTTAAGAAGCAAATATTCAACAGACCTCTACTTCCATTCATAAATTCCATTATATCTATCTTTGTGAATTTTTTGATATTTTGAAGAAATTTGAGTATTCTGAAGCTAAGTATATTTTATTTTCACATGTCTTTATTTAATTTTTAAGGTTATCTTTTACTTATTATGTATTGTATATATCACTAAATAAAAGTTTCTTTGTTTACTAAATACCATTTGTGATTGAGAAGAAATGATTAAATTGCTATATTTATTTCCCATTAAATATTTATTAACATGAGCTGTAGGAGACCAATTAAGTCATTCAACATGCACATAAAGCAGGAAGTGACTAGCTTTCCATATTTCCAATGATGTGCTACAGATAATACAATCCATATTGAACAACTGACACATAAAATTATGTGTTACCTTAATTCTAAGCATGTAAATTGAATTAGATATTATTTTCAACCAAAGTTATGTTGTGCAGTAGAAATAAATGCACAAATGTGTTTTCTTTAAAGCCTGTGAAAATGAAAAAGATATCTAATTTCACAAAATATACTTTGTGTTTGAAACCTAGGCAATATGTTCATAGATATGTGAGGGTGCTTTGTTGTTGTGGAGTATATCTGTTTAATATTTTATTAAGAAGGTGCATAAATTACATGCTCATTTTATAAATGGTTATGAGGAGTCATAGAGAAAAGAGCTAATAGCAAAGATTTTGTGTTAGATTTTATTTTAAGTAATGGCTTTTTCACATTTAAAAGGAAAACATTCAGCATGATACATTATCTTCCTGAGTCTCCTTTTCCTTTGCATAAAACAAAGTATGTTCTGCATATGTAATATTCTATATATAAAGCAAACACCAGATGTTCACTAAGCAAATTGTATATGCAACAATAAGGAAACTAAAAACTCAAGCCACCACTGCAAGAAATGTTAGACAACTTTATTAATGTTAAGTTATAGAGTATATATTTGCAGCCTTTACAGTTAGACTTGAAATGAGTTCTTAGTATTTTGTAATTAAGCATAATTTCTGTTTTTCTTCTTCCTCCCTCTCTATCACTTCCCACTTTCCCATTGCCTTCTTTCCCTCATACTTTCCCTTCTTCCCTCCCTCCCTCCCTTCCTTCATTCTTTCTCTTTCCTTTTTTTCTTGCTTTCTTTTCCTCCCACCCTCCCTCCTCCATCCTTCCTTTCTCTCTCCTTTCTCTTTCCTTCCTGCCTGCTTTCTTTCTTTCTCTTTCTTTCCCTCTTTCTTTCTTTCTCTTTCTTTCTTTCTTTTCTTCCTCCTTTCTCTCTTTCCTTCTCTTTCTTTCTTTCTTCCTCTTTCTTTCTTTCTTTCTCTCTTTCTTTTTTCTCTCTTTATTTCTTAATTTTCCCTCCCTCCCTCCCTTCTTTCCTTCCTCCCTTCCTCCATGCCCCCCTCCAAATACTTATAGTTTGAACCTCTAGGTATGCACTCTGTCACTTAAGCCATGTCTCCATGGTGAGTTTAAAGTATATTTCACACAGCCCCTTTGATTAGACTCCTACTTTTCCACAATTTCAACAGTAGAGTCCCAATAGATCAAAATATAAATGACAATTTATGGGAAGAAATTTAGGAATCTATTTGCAAATTATGTATATGAGGGAGTTCTCAGCACAGCACTGGAGAGATGCTGTTAAAATTTCTGTCAAGTCATGCTGCTCCTCTTGTCCAAATCCTGCAACAGTCCCCCTCTTGGAGATGTAATCCTGTCATACTGCCATCTGTTCCCATCTGACCTTATGTCACATGTCCTCTTTCTCTCTTTCTCTCTCTTTTTGCAATGGTACTGAGGCTTGAACTCAAGTCCTGAGCACTGTACCTGAGCTTCTTTTGCTCAAGGCTAGCACTATACCACTGGATCCACAGTCCCATATCTAGCTTGTTGGTAGTCTCACAAATGTGTCTGCCTGGGCTGGCTTCGAACTGCAATTCTCAGATCTCAGACTCTGAAATAGCTAGGATTACAGGCATAAGCTACTAGCACTTGGCTTCCTCTCTCTTGGTCCCATCACTGCAGACACCAATGTATGGATTCCATGCACATGGAAGAAATAGGATTTAGCTTACAGTGAACTAATGCTGATTTAAATGAAGAGAAATTCATCCGTCATTGTATCTGAAGTTGTGCTTGATTTTACCTGTGACAAAAGCATATGCCAAAATGTACTGGCAGCCATCTCTAGAATATTTTGTCAGAGGTCAAAAGGTTGTTGACAGTGTTCCTCAATCTAAGACTGTGGTAAGATCAATCTAGGAAGCATATATATGCATGTATACATATGTATAGTTTTTCTGGTCTTCTTTGTGTGTGTAAAGCATTCTTATTAACAATAATCTTTTTTGAGAAAATTGTGATACTTCTAGTGATACCACTAGAAGCTGATTAATTAAAACTTGAAAATTATTTTTTTGTTTAGGCCATCTTTTACAGTTACAAAAGAGTTCATCTTGAAATTTAATCGAACACGGGATTTGGTGAACAAGGAAAAATTATTGGAACAAGCTAGAAAAAATATTCTCAGATGTAAGGTAATTATACACTGTTGGTTACCTAGTTGAAATTACTTTTCTATTTGATACATGAGGACATATTTTAAAGTACTGAAATACTGAAATAAAATAGGCTTAAACTGGGTTATACTTATGTTTTATTAGTTATAAAATATAGTTAAACTATAAAATAAATATATTTATTAATAAATCTATAGCTATCTGTTAATATAATTATATTTTATTACTTATAGCTAAAATATTAATAGAAATTAAATTTAAATCTTATGACTAGAGAATTCAATATCATGTGGTTTCTTTTTTTTTTGGTCCGGTCATGGGTCCTGAACTCTGGGCCTGAGCACTGTCTCTCAGCTCTTCAGCTCAAGGCTAGCACTCTACCACTTGAGCCACAGCACCACTTCCGGCTTTTTTCTTTTTGCTTACGTGGTGCTGAGGAATCGAACCCAGGGCCTCAGGCATGCAAGGCAAGCGCTCTGCCACTGAGTCAACTTCCCAGCCCCTCATGTGGTTTCTTATGTGAGGCGCTCCATAAATTATTAGGAAATGTAGCTGATAGCTACAAGACCTGAGAGGAAAATGTCAAAATCTAGCAAATAATATTTAGTAACAGAAATTCTATTTTTTTCTTTGAAAGCTTAGTTGAGTATAACGATTCACAAACAACAAAGATGATCTTCCTATATATACACTGTAGAGGCATTAAGTATTGAATTCTTTTTAATAAACTATTCCTTACTCAGATTGCTAAACGTGCATTTTTGATTAGTTATAATACTAATTCTCAGTTTTCAATTAGATATAGAGACTGAACAGGAAGCAAATTTCTTATTTTTCCATTTCTAAATTTAATTCACTATAAACCTGACAGAGAAATAATCTGTATATATGATATTTCTTTGTTACCAAATAATTCATGAAATAAAAGCAGCACAAGACTGAAGCTTATTGTAAGCTGTCTTTTTTTATGATGGTGGCTATTTTTGAGGTCCTGACAGTTCATATATATGTATGCTGTATCAGAAAATAATCCATTTAAAACATTTGACTTAAAATGCGGTATTCTTCTGAAAAGTGTGCATGGTAAAGGTGCCAGGAGGTACATGCAGCAGTAGGCTTGGCTGTAATTGGCTATGAGCTTTAGAGACAGCCTCAGGAGTGGGTACTGCAATAGGGAATCTGGGTAGTCCTGACCATCTCTTTTTCCTTACTGTTGAAACTCAAAGACCAACATTTAACCTACATCCTACTTTTCTCTTACCTCTATTTCCTTCAGCTGCTCAGTTCTGAAATACCTAGACTTTCCCGGCAAACAGGCATCAATTGATTTCTTCAATAGTTTTGCTTCTAAAATCAGAGATATATTCTCTCAGAAAGATAAAGTAATCCCTAGAAATCAGAGTGAGAGTCATTTTAACAAATAATTCATGTCATTATTTTGATCATTAATGTAACACTAATATACTTTGCAAAAATATAAAAATACAATTAAAAGATAAAACTATAAAGCTCATGGAATGATTTTAGAATATACATAACTAAGAGGTAACACAATAGGCACCTGAATGAGAAGATCCCTATTTTGTTTGACTAATTTTATGTTTCCTCATGGCAGAGAAAATTGGGTCTGAAAACTCTGGGCTCTGGGAAGCATGTGCATCTACCATCTGCATGGATTGAAGTGACATATCTGGCTCAGTGCAAAGGAGAAATCCAAGATGGTATGTACTTTGAATTCTTCCTAAGAGTCCAGAGTGCATATTTAGAAATATTCAGAAGACCAGAAATTTTCTATTCTCCATTAAAATGTCTCATACTGTTTCATTGTGGAAATTCCTTCTGTAATTTTGAATTTATGAATTGGTTTACTCTATGTTTTAATTACAAAATTATTTTAAAACTTTTACTCAGCATAGTCTTCATTGCTTTTACTTAAGTTGGTAACTACCTAAAAAGTGATATGCACTTTCATTTAGTGTTTTTCAGTTACAATAGACACAGTGCTTTCAAGGAACTTGTTTCTACATTTTATAATTTAAACTCATAAAAAGTTAATCTCATGGTTGTCCTTTTTACTTATTTTAAACAGCAAGCTTTCCTGATTACCTTTTTGTTGATCACTTCTCATTTATACTCCTCTAACTGATCTGAAAAAAGAAAGTAAATAACACTGTTTTAAGGGGATAAAATTCCCTATCATTATCCTAAATGTTATATGTGTAACTTTGAAGATGAGTTTTAGGATGTTAGCCACATGAAGGTCAGAGAATATTTCCCCATGTAAATTGGGATGTGTAACAATGTCTGGGAGTTTCAAGCAGTAGGACTCCTCCTATTTTGTACTTAACTTGCCTTTATGAGCCTTCCTCACAGTACCATCTACAGCCTGACCTCTATTAAATGTTTAAATGACATTGAAGTAAGCTGAGCACTTTCAGTTTACTACCAACCAGGAATCACTTGCTCTCCACTGCCAACTAAACTTCAGTTTTGTTCATGTCCTGCTGTCATGTGATTCATTGGGAGGGGATCCCTTGTTCCAGCCCCAGAGGGTTTACTAAGTTAATCACAGGAATTCCCACTAATGTTACACAGAATCAAAAGTTTTTTTCTCCTTCCTTTTTTTCCTTCCTTTCTTCCTTTTTTGTTTATGTGGTGCTGAGGAATCAAACCCAGGGCCTCATGCATGCAAGGCAAACGCTCTACCACTGAGCCATCTTCCCAGCCCTCTTTCTTTCTTTCTTTCCTTTCTGTCTGTCTGTCTTTCTTTCTTTCTCTTTCTTTCTTTCTTTCTTTCTTTCTTTCTTTCTTTCTTTCTTTCTTTCTTTCTTTCTTTCTTTCTTTCTTTCTTTCCTTCCTTCCTTCTTCGCTATTCCTCAGCTCTTCAGCTCAAGGCTAGTGCTCTACCACTTGAGCCACAGTGCCACTTCAGGTTTTCTGGTGGTTTATTGGAGATAAGAGTCTCATGGACTTTCCTGCCCAGGATGGCTTTGAACCACGATCCTCAGATCTCAGCCTCCTGAGTAGCTAGGATTGCTGGTATGAGCCACCAGCACCTTGCTCAAAAACATTTTAATTCATTTAGATATCGAACTCTGTATGATGTTCTAAGTAAATTTACTAACACAATCTCCACAACTGAAGTAAACCTCAGAAGAGGAGGCCTACCTCTACTCTGCTGTGTTACTCATTCTGTTGTTCATTCTGTACCACCATAGGCCAGTTGACAGCTTAAACAATTTCCAGAGGTGTCTTATTTCACTTAAAATGAGGCCCAACACCATATCATGGCCTGCCATGACTCTATAGGACATGGCTCCTGGCTACTATTCTACATATTCATTATGCTGCAGACATACTGGCTCCCTTTCTGACCCTTTCTGACCATCATTATGTTTTTCCTTTCTGAAGTTGTATTTGCTGTTCTTCCTAAACTATTTACACAGCAGTTTCTTAAAACCTTTAGAATGATTCAAGTTGCCATTTCTTTGTAGGCACCTAGCTTTATATTCATCCTCCTTCAGCATAACATCTAACTTCTTTTGTCTCATTTTTTATGGTTTTTGTTCTTGTCTTTTTTATCTTTGGCCATTCTTTCATCAATGAGCTTTGTTATATTTCTCTATCACTTTGAATATGATCTCGTGATCAATATATAATGTTGGCTGAAAAAGCTAGAGCTCCCCGAGCATTTCTCTCCCTCTCTTTTAAGTAGTCTCTCGACTTGATGATTCTGAGTCCAGCTTTGTTAGTTGGACTTTCTACATTGGAGCTCAGGATTCCAAAGCTAGTTCTGATTGGGGGCAGTGGATATTCAGGTAGAAACTAAATTTACCTTGCCTGTTTTGATCTAGCCTCTGAAGTTATCTGTTGCTACTAGTTATGCATTTTACTGATTAAAGCAGCCACATGGACTGCTCAGGTTTAAATGGAAAGGAGCTTGGGAGAATTCACCTTTTGATGGGAAGAATGGCAAGGAATTTGTGAACACTTAGAAGCTGATGAGCAAATAGTTATCTGCAAAAATTAATTGTAGCATGTAGAAAACCAAGATGATGCTTAAATGACAAAATTTCTTCTTTATGGAATTTCAGAAGCTTTAGGTATCCTCTATGCTTCTCTGGACCATGCTTCCTTCACTTATGACCAGCTGCCTGCTTTGTTTTTTGTGGCAGAGTCAGTTTTATATAGACTCTGTTGTGATGCATTCAAGAAGGCATTTTTATATTCAGTTGAGATAAAGTTGGCAAAGGTATGTTTTAATTTTTGATATTATTATTAATTAATGTTAGATTACAATATATGATGACATAGCATCCATTTTTGATCAAAACAAGGTATTTGCTTATTTGTTAGTTTCATTTCTGACTATGTAGTATGTTACAAATTATGTGGTATACAGTATGAGTAATATGTTATTACTTGGTATCTATGTGGGAAAGTTTAAGAAAATGTAGTTTTACAAACTATGTAAGAAAATATTTGTTTAAAATAAATATGCTTCTTTTTTCTGGGAATATATTGATTTTACTTTTCTTCATTTGAAGGACTGGCTTTTTGTTTTGTTTTGGGTGTATATCTGTACCAGGGCTTGAACTCAGGCCTCACAATTTCTCTAAGCTTTCTTGCTTGGGGATGGAACTCTCCCTCCATTCTAGCATTTTTCTAGTTGTTTGGATATGGTACCTTGCAGACATTTTTCATTCAGTCTGGCCTTGAACCATCATTCCTCAAGTTTCAGCTTCCAAATTGAGCCACTGGCATCTGAAGGACTTTTTAACGTTAGTTCTTATTCTGTTTTAAAATGCTGACAACTAGTTGGGTGCTGGTGGCCCAAGCCAGTAATCCCAGGTACTCAGGAGGCTGAGATTTGAGGATTGTGATTTGAAGCCAGCCCTGGCTCTTATGTGCAATTTATCACCAGAAAGCCAAAGTATAGCGATGGCTTGAGTGGTAGAACTCTGGCTTTGAACAAAAAAGCTCAGGGACAGTGCCCAGCCCCTGAGTTTAAGCCTCGCCCCCTGTCATACACAACACACACACACACACACACACACACACACACACACACACACACACAATGCTGACTATAAATAATCTTTGGATGAAAGATACTGGTTCTTTCTGTGTTCTACATCATTTTAGAGCTATACATGGGTCATTATTTTATACAGGTTATGTTTCAAAAGACCTTAAACTCATTTGGATTCAATCCTTACAATGGTAGTAGTGACAAAATTTATTCTTAGTCTAGTAAATTTATTTTAACTAATGATTATTTTTGCAAAGAGTAGCAAGATTTCTTCTTTTTCTTTTCTTTTCTTTTTGGTGGTTTAGGTTTAAAGGCAAGGCTTTCTTGGCTTGCTTGCCCTGTAATATAATGTCAGTTATTCTTCGACATGTTTGGGAATAAATGACAGAGTTGATGCAGACAGAATGTAAGAGATAATGACCTACACAGAGAAAAGAAATTTTACATGAAAGAGGAGTGAAAGGGAAAAGTACTTGTCTTAGAATACAAATATTTTTCTTCTTAAAAATTTCTACACTACTCATAATGGAAATAAGTTTATATTTATTATGATATTTAAATTTTTATGAGTTAATTATAAATATGAAATGTGTAAAACCTAAGTATATTCACATTAGTGATAAAAATGAAGTGGAATACAAGGAGGGAACATGGAAAACACAAAAAAAGCTGGATACTCTCCTAATTCCTTCTCATCTTGCTAATGACCTTTCTCCATTTCTTGACTTAAAATTACAGTAGAGAAGCGGGTGGCTCATATGCCAATAATTCTAGCTGATAATCTGAGATCTGAGGATCATAGTTCAAGGCTAGTCCAAGCAGGAAAGTCTGTGGGACTCTTATCTCCAATTAATCACAGAAAAAGTTGGAAGTAGAGTTGTGGCTCAAGTGGTAGAGCAAAAGGAGCTTAGGGAAAATACCCAGGCCCAGGGTTCAAGCCCCAGAAACTGCAAAAAAATGACAGTAGAAGAAAAAAGAATCACAAAATATACTTTCAGCCATTAAATATGCTGATTATACATTTTACACCTGCAATCTACTTTTTAAAAATTTTTGAATTTTCTCTCCTGTTCGTACTATATACTTGGTGTGGATTCTTGTAACAGTTGCAAAATCCCCAGTACCAACCTCTGTGCTTTTCTCAATAACAATTTTATGAACAATGTTGCACATAACTTATTATCACAATGAAAGAGATAGTGTTAGTAATATACATTATTTTGCAAGTAAGGAAATTGTGGTATAGAGAGCTTAACTGACCCACTCTACATGAATAAGGAGTCAAAAAAGGTTTTGAAAACCTTGGCAGTGTAGGTCAAAGTACAGTGGAATCATCACCAGTGATGCTCACTCACTCCTACTGAGTTCTCACATTCAGTAAGTTTAAAATTTATTCCTATTGTTTTGCTGATATAAACTACTAGTAGAAATAACTATGACTTACATCTAAAAGTGACTTCCTTGCCTTTGTTGAATGGTGTAACTAATTTTGTTGGAAACTTCTTGCTGTTTTTTGAGTACAAAGCTTCATTGAAAAGTATTTCTACACAGGTGTGACAGATGAGAGAATAAAGGAAGCTGATGCTGGGGGCTGTAGAGAATTCTTTCATATGGGCCAATTTGGGAAGGAATTACTGAAAAGTGGCACATGAGCAGACACCTGCCTGGTAAAAAAAGCAAGGGCCTAAGTGCATTTGGAAAGAGCATTATTTTTGCCATTTATATTTTGTTATTTGTGCCAGTATTGAGACTTGAACCCCTGGACTCACATTCTTACTTGGCTTTCTTTTGCTCATGGCTGGTCGTCTGTCATTTGAGCCACACTTCAATTTCTAGCTTTTTGGTGGTTAATTGGAGATAAGAGTTTCATGGAATTTTTTGCCCCAGGTGGCTTCAAATAGAGATCCTCAGATCTGTCTTCTGAGTAGCTAAGTTTACAGGTATAAGCCATCAATTCCCAACTTAGCTAGTTATTTAAAAAGCTACTTTGAGGTAAGATTTAAATAAATGATCATGAAATGAACATGCTACTGTAAGGATGGAGTTCAATGGCTTTGTCATTGTGTATACCCTAATTATTCCACCACGAAGTTGTTAACTATCAAACCCCCAAATTGCTTTATGACCCCTTATACCCAGAACTTTATATCTGCTCCTGTATCTGGTTTCTTCTACTTGCATGTTATTTTTGAGAAATATTCTTACATATTGAGACATATTCTTACTGTGTATATCCATAGTCCATTCCTTTACTGATGTCACTCTATTATACAAACACATTAGCATTTGTTTATTCATTCTTTTATTGAAGGTGGTAAGCTGGGTCCACAATTATTTTTATTATTATTGTTGTTGTTTTAATATGTGGGTGTATCTTAGAAATGACCAGTATGCCTGGTGCTTTATAAATGCTGTCAACTTACACATACAAAAAAGAAAGGAGAGTAGTTCCAGAAGTATCTCATCTCTCTACCTGCACAATTTTGTACCTCCTAGGAGGTACAAATTCAGGATTGGATACAATAAAAAAGATATAATCATATTTTCAAACATTTCATTCCAGGTTTTATATATTCTTTTCTTTCTATTTGCTTCTGAATGTAGAATTGCTTCTGCTATTGAATTTTGCTTGTACAAATGTAGAGAATAATATTAAATGACAATTTAATATACATTGGATAGAAATATTGTCTTTCAGCCTGTTGCTGGTAACTCATGCCTATAATCCTAAAATGAGTCCTAGGATGAAACCTCAGGCTCACGATTTGAAGCTAGCAAGACAGGAAAGTCTGTGAGACTCTTATCTCCAATAAACTACTCAGAAAAAGCCAGAGATGGTGCTGTGGCTCAAGTGGTAGAGTGCTAGCCTTAAGTACAAAAAAAAAACTCAAGGGAGGAGGAGGAGGAGGAGGAGGACTGTTTTTCAAATCTCCACAGAAGAACACAAAAATGTAACCAACGATGAAACTGCAACTATGATAGAATTTTTATTTCACAAAAGACAAGAAAAAAGGAAAGGACAGAAAGGATAAAGGAAGGAAAGATGGGAAAGAAGAAGAGAAAGAAATGCAGAAGCAGAGATTCAATAGGAGGCAAAGTTTGAGTTGCTAAAGTGCAGGGGACTAGGTACAAAAAATGAAACAATAAAGGGCCTAGGAGTTCTTAGAGATATGAACAGGCAAAGTTTACAATGAAATTTAATCTTCAGAATATCATAGATAAGGAAGTGGCGCTGTAGCTCAAGTGGTAGAGCGCTCGCCTTGAGTTGAAGAGCTGAGGGACAACGCCCAGGCCCAGAGTTCAAGCCCCACAACCGACAAAAAAAAAAAAAAAAGAATATCATAGATAAAATCTTTCAAAATAATTTTCCAAACGTAAATATAACTAGGGATAAGCCTAGGTTAGGTGAAATTCTAGACTGTGAGGTAAAATTTTTGCATTTTCTGCTTTGTAGGATATTAAGTATTGTGTGTCAATATTATTGCTTAAAATATCTATTGATAATATCTTTGAACTCCTATATTATTTCCTTCAACTAAGTTTTTAAAAAATTTATTGTAAAGGTGATATATAGAAGGGGTATAGTTACATAAGTAAGGTAATGAGTACATTTCTTTTTGAACAGTGTCACCCCACCCTTCAGAATACAATTTCTTTTCTTTTCTTTTCTTGGTTCTGGGGGCTTGAACACAGGGCCTAGACGCTGTCCCAGAGCCTCTTTGTACTCAAGGCTAGGGCTCACCACTTGAGTCACAGCACCACTTCCGCAGCTATGAGTTTTTACTCATGTTTTGTTACTGCTGGAAATGTTGCCTATCATTGTCTTGTATAGAAGATCACAATATTATTTTACATGGTCTATGGACCTTCTTGTCCTACTCATTAAACTCTGTCTTAGAGAAGAAGCACCAGCTATACCTGAGTGGTGTATGTGAAGAGACCCTCAGGGCATGGTTTATAAAAATTTGATTTTTATTTTTAAGTCTAAAAAAGAGTGCATCTTCACAATTAAAAAACATTACTGGATGTTGGCTACTCATCTTCAAATTTTTAGTGATCGAAATTTCTGATTTTAAAAAATGCTAGAAAAATTACTGCTATAATGATATTTATATCTTTGTGAATAAGCAGTCTTGGGTTCAAAGACCTGAAATGCCACTTAGTGTTTCCTAATACTTGGGAAGCATGGAGACTTGGTATGATTCATGTACTTTATTTTGACATGTGTATCTAATAGTACCATTTATTACTGTTAGATGTGGTTTTCGTAGATCTCTCTGTCTCTCTCTCTGGCTCTGTCTTTGTCTCTGTCTCTTTCTCTCTCATATACACAGAAGTCACTGCTAGTATTAGGTTTGTCACTTTGAGTTAGCAACTTTTAAACTTGAATTTCTAGTTTGTGTTTTATTTTGACTTTATATGAAATCTTGTGTAATGTGTGTTTTGCAGATTTCCAATTTTATGGTATGTTTAAAATACGCATGCACTGGTGTGTATGTTTATAAGATCAATATTTATTGTGTATACAATAAGCTATTTTAAAATTATTTATGAATTTTAAATGCCACAGAAAATTTTCAGTTGAACTTATTATGATATTTTTATAAGCATATTGGAAACAATGTATGACATGCTATTCAGAGCAGAGTATTTATCAGTGTTGTCTAAAACTATTTTTCAAGTTGTTTTTATTAAGACCCTAATGGGTCTTAATAAAATACACTTTTCTTTGTGATCCAGTATATACATTATGTACATTCACTTATACACTAAAAAAGAATTGAGCAATATATCATAATTTTTTCTCTTCTACTTTATTTAAAAATACAATGTCAACAATGCTCGATAGGAAATGTATTCATTACTCGTGTAACTGTAACCCCTCTGTACAGTATTTTTACAATAAAAAAGCATTTAAAAATAAAAAATTAAAAAAATAAATAAAAATCCCATGTCAATTGATTTTATGAGTCACAAAAGGAGCATAATATGTGGAATGAAGCAATACTTTTCTAAAGGATTTAGAACAAAACAATGTTCAGCATTGGTCATTCTAGGTAATGTAGAAATGATTTATAAAAGTATTTTTGTGAGCCAGGTGCCGGTGGCTCATGCCTGTAATCCTGGCTATTCAGGAGGCAGAGATCTGAGGATCCCGGGTCAAAGCCACCTGAACAGGAAAGTCTGTAAGACTCATCTCCAGTAAACCACTCAGAAAACTGGAAGTGGCACTCTGGCTCAAGTAGAATGCTAGCCTTGAGCTGAAAAGCTGAGGGACAACATCCAGGCCCAGAGTTCAGGCCCAATGACCAGCCAAAAAAAAAAAAAGTGTCTGAACTACTATTTCAATCTTGATATAAATGTTTTGAAGATATTTCAGAATGGCATAACATCAATGAAGTTTGAAACTGCTTCATCAGAAGTATTTTTAATAATAAAAGTTTATTTTCTATATAGTTTTTGAACATGTGTTGATGCAATACATAAATGCTTTTATATTTTCTGTTTTGACAGATTGGCTATTTGGTCTTCTTACGACTCTTTGTATTTTTCCTGCATGGTCATCTAGAAAGCTTCAAAGAACATTTACTTAGGCTCCGACCATATTTATTTGGTAGAGTATCTTTTTTATACTTATAAATGCTTAAGTTACATTTTAAGAAACTTGGTCTGCCACTATAAATATCATATGCTGAGTATTAGGATTCATGAAGACAATAGGTGCATTGCTGACTTCTGAGCTGAATAAATATTCAGCATTTATTTTGAGCACTTATTCAGGTTTGTTTTTCCCTATGTACTTATCAATTATTTTGTAGTGAGAACTTTACAAATCAACCCTCTTCTGAATTTATTAAACAATTTTTTATTTTCATTTATTTTTATTTTCTGCGTGGATACTTTGGGCTAGAACTAGGGACTTAAGTGCTATCCCTTAGCTTTTTTACTCAAACCTGGTACTCTTCTCCTGAGCCACAGCTCTACTTTTAAATGAAAAAGTTTCTTCTAAACACAAAAGAACTTTCATAATCCAAAGAATACCTATGGAATGAAAAAAGAAATTTTTTTTTTTTGGGTCCGGTCGTGGGGCCTGAACTCTGGGCCTGGGCGCTGTCCCTCAGCTCTTCAGCTCAAGGCTAGCGCTCTACCACTTGAGCCACAGCGCCACTTCTGGCTTTTTTCTGTTTGCTTATGTGGTGCTGAGGAATCGAACCCAGGGTCTTGAGCATGCAAGGCAAGCGCTCTACCACTGAGCCACCTTCCCAGCCCCTGAAAAAAGAAATTTTGCCAGCTATTTATCACATAAAGGAGTAGTATCTAGCATCTATAAAAACCTCTAAAAAGTAAGCATCCAAAGAATAAATAATCCAATTGATAAATGGACAAATGAGCTGAATAATTTTCAAAAGAAATAAAAATGAGTCATAAAACAGGAAGAGATGTTCACATTCTTAGATGTAAATGAAATATAAATCAAAACATCACTGGTAGTCCATCTCATCCTAGTCTTACCAGTCTTGACGCATGCATTGTTAGTCACTGTAGTTTTTCTGTTGGGCCACAGCTCACTACAACTTTCCCCTACCTAACTGAAGTCTTGTACTCCTTGATTAACATCTCCTACTTTCTCTACCCTTCCTTTCCCCACTGCACCCTTTGGTAGCTACTTTGTAAACTACTTTCTACATGAGTATATGGTGATGTTTGTGACTTAATTTTTCATCTGCAGTAACGTCTATCAGACTGCCTTTTAAAAAATGCTAAACTTATAGTTTCTGAAGATAAATCTAGTGGCAGTGTAGCTGTTAGACTGGATAGAAGAGAGTGGCCAAGGGAGGCCTGTTTACTATGGCATGCACAAACAGAACATTTCTTATTATCTAAAACAATGTTCTTCTAACAGTTTTGACCGAGACACATCAGAAGAAATAGACCAAGCTTTCTATGGTGAAGAAGCTATTAATGATATTAACTGTTGTAATGAAAGTTATACATAGTGAGATAGCTCTTTAAATACTTAGATAAAATACTAGATTTGGTGATCAATTTGATCTAGGTTCTATGTAGGGGTGAATGAGAAGTTCAGGAGGAAGTTGAAGTTATATACATATTTAGTAATAGGATACAAACACTGAAAAATGTTAGATGCAGTAAGTTTGAAATTTATGAGACCCGAATATGTAGATTTTATAGTTATTCTTATCAATATGGCTATTGTAAACACTGGGGGTGGGAAGAAGTTAATTCTAGAAAGAGAATCTCAGGGAACATAGATATTTAATCATATGAAATATAATTATAAGACAAAAATTCAACCTAAAAATGTAAACTATTTCAAAAGTGTAATGCTGTAATATTTATGGCACCATATAATCCTATCAATGAAAGAACAGAGAAAAGATGAGTATGTTAAATGAAGCCAAGAGGAGACTATAGATGAATCGAATAGGAATTATGTATCATATAATTTTTTTCCTTCCTTTCTTTCTTCCTTCCTTCCTTCCCTTTCCTTCCTTCCCTTCCTTCCCTTTCCTTTCCTTCCTTCCTTTTCCTTACCTACCTCTTTCCCTCCCTCCCTCCCTCCTTTCTTTTTTTTTCTTTTCTTTTCTTTTGTTGATTGTGGCACTTGAACTCTGGGCCTCTGGGCCTGGGCGCTGGGCACTGTTCCTCAACTCTTCAGCTCAAGGCTAGCACTCTACCACTTGAGCCACAGAGCCACTTCCATTTTTTGAGTGGTTTATTGGAGATAAGAGTCTCACAGACTTTCATGCTTGGGCTGGCTTTGAACTGAGATCCTCAGATCTCAGCCTCCTGAGTATCTACGATTTCAGATGTGAGCTACTGGTGCCCAGCTTCATATCGTTTTCTTTATTTCTTCCATCAATTATATTTCCTTTTCTTATCCCTTTAGTGTCCAGAATAGTGACTATCAAATAATTTATAGAACGAATGGAACTAAGATAGTTCTGTTAAATATCACATAGTATTTATGTTAAATGAATAATTTCCTATACAGCATATACTTTAAAACCTACAATAACCTCTTGAGAAAGAATAAGGCTGGAGCATATTGAGTTAAAAGTAATATTGCTTTGTTTGTAGGATTACAATTACAAAGTAGCCATCATGAATGGAAATATCTGTTATAATTTGATTTATATCAGCTTGAAGCTTCCATGCATTGTTGAGCAGTAACAATATTTAATTGGGCATTCAAGCCATTATTCAAGGCATTTTGATTTATATAAACACTTTTTATTTATGACCTACTTGTAATTTATTTTTTCACCACCAGAGGGCATGTATAACATTCTAAATCTTTACTACTTGAGGAAATGTACAGCTGGTTTTGCACCTGAATTTAATATTGAATTTAATTGCAGTTTTATACAAAAAGAAAAGTGAACACTAAAAGCTATTAATGAACTATTTCTCACATTTTTTTTACAATAGCACTTTCTTCTTCTGAAATATCCTATTACAAGTATCCAAACATATTTTCAAATGTGCAATTCATCCTGAAAACATCGCAAATTATGTATAAAAAAGAACTCATTAAAAAAACTTTCAGCACTGAAGAAAATATGGAAGAATTCGAAAATAATTATTCTGACATGGTAGGTAGTTTCATGTGGTGTCTGTATCCTGTCACAGAATGAGTAGGATTGCTATGTATAAATAGTCATACTTGTTAATCCATAAATCATTATTGATGCTGAGTTCAACTAGTTTAGGTAGGGAGTAGAGGAGTGAACACAAATTTGACTAGTTTTATGCACATGCATGCCTCTTTCCTGGATGGTAGATGGTAGATAATTGTACCCATATGTGCTGCTTCTATGTTAGGTGGAATAAGGTCATGACACCTTTTCCTTGTAGTTGCCATCTCAGCTGATTAGTTAACAGTCAAAATGTGCCAGGCACTGGAGGTTCATGCCTCGTAGCCACTCAGGAGGTTGAGATCTGAGGATCAGGCTTTTAAGCCAACCTGGTCAGGAAAGGCCATGGGACTTTATCTCCAAATTGACTAGTGAAAGAGACAGAAGTTGAGTTGTGGCACAAGTCATAGAGTGCTAGCCTTGAGCACAAAAGCTAAGAACAGTGCCCAGGCCCTGAATTCAAGCCCCAGGACTGGCAACAAAAAAAGAAAGACTTAGATTTGCCTTAAAATTAACATTTTACTACATTCTTATTAAAAGGAATGCATGTGAGTTTTGAAACAAGTGTTAAACAAGTATTAAAATCTTTGCATCTATGATTCATATATACAATAATGTTTAATATATAACTTAAATCAACTGAAAACTTTCAAATATAACTTAAATTGAGACTCAAAGTAATTTCTTTTATATAAAAATTATTTTACTTTCCTAGTCAGAACTTGGCAACCTTACTACTTTGATTTTTAGACATATGAATTTATGGTCTTTAGCTTGTAAACAGAGCATTTGTTTTTTTTTAACTTTTCCCCCAAAAGCATTTGGAGGCATGGCTCAGCTGGCACAGTGCCAGCTCTACAGTACAGTGCCACGTACTGTGTTCAAGTCCCAGTTTTGGACCCCCACAGAAAAAGAATTCCCCCAGAAGACATAAGTCGACATAAGCCAAAAACAATAAGGAAATGTAAAGAAAACTATGATCTCATAATTTTCCTGTACTTCCTTTGGGAACTTTTTGACATTATCTATAAATTAAATAAGTAAGATAAAATATTTTATTGTATCTATCTTTAGTCTTTTTTAGGACCATTTTTTGGGCTCCATTAATGATGGAACATTTATAAAGAAAGTGATATTTGCTAAGTAATTTGAAACTTTTGGTTACAATTTCTTTCTTTTAATTGTGAAAATACTGTACAGAGGGGTTACAATTACATGGGCAAGATAATAAGTACATTTCTTATCAAGCATTGTAGCCTCCGGTTACAATTTCTAATAAACTCAAATTGTGTCCTGTAAAAAAAGAATCTTAATAGCTATGTTGACTCACTCCTGTAATCCTAGCTACTTGGGAGGCAAATTGGGAGGACCATGGTTCAAAATAACAGACCCTATCTGCACCGGATGCTGTGGTGCAGACCTGTCCTCTCAACTATATAGCAGAAGTTCAAAGTCTGAGGTTGGCTGCAGGCAAAAAATGAGCCCTTATCCCTACAATAAAATAAAGCAAAAAGTTTCTAAGTGTAGTTCAAATGGAAAAGTATCTAATAAGAACAGGCCCTGACTTCAAATCCCAGGATCTAATTTTTCAGATTGAAAAGTATCTTCACAGCAAATATGTTACAGAAGATTCTGAGCAATAAAAGGAACACTGGTCGTCAAGAGAAAAGACCCATGTATGTGTGATCCAGAGGAGTTTTGTTAATCTCTTAAACCCCCATCTGCTTATCTTTCCAAAGTCCTGGAAATCATCATCTTTGGCATCATTATCATCATCCTATCTACCTGGACTCCCCTACATGGTTACTGTAGAGATCATAGAAACAAACAAACAAAATGTGCCTTGTAAATTAAATGCCATAAGAATGTAAATAATGTTAAGAGGAAAGTACATTTAGGAATCTACTCTAACCTATTCTGTTCAATATAATAATTTTCATCTGCAGACATGATTATATGCACTCTATGTTTTGCCTTTAAGCAAATGAGATATTGCGAAATCTTAGCAACACATGCCTTCTGGTGAGGAGCAGACTACTTTCAGTGTTCGTTCTGATGCTTTTGAGGAACATGTCCATTTTGGTCACTTGCTTCACACTCAGCAAGCTAGTGGAACCTTACTGTTGCACTGCTCTGCCTGCACTGGAAGGCATGAAGTCACCCACATGTGAAACAAACATATCTGCTTAGAGTGAGACTTGGCAGTCACAAAGTCTTTCTTGCCATTTTCTACCTTGTAGAACAAAGGGCTCACATTTACTTGCTCACACATTCTATTTCAGTTCTATCTCTGTGATTCTCTGAGGGGATTATAACGGATTTTGGCCTGTCAGGTTTATTGCCCTTCTTTTCTCCTCCAATTACCTTATAATATAAAGACTGTAAAGGACAGTGTAGCTACCTTGCTACTGAATTATTGCTTTGGCTAATCAGCACTGATCCATGGCTTGATTTACAAGCCTTAAAGTTCCCTGAATTCAGGTCATTTTTTCCAGTAGCATAGTCTATCCTGTTTTCGTGAGCATCTATCCATTCAATACTGTCTCATTTGCCTTCTGGAAAAGGAAGTAGGAAAACAGTGAGATAAAAAGTAAAATAGAAAGATATACTAGTAGCCATCTTCTTTGCCTCCTTTATTAATAGTTTATTGTAGTAAAGGATTTGTAAGTTTATTCCCAAAGCTTTCATGCTCAGATAATAATAAAAGGTCTACAGCAGCATGTATTAGCCCTTGCAAAATATTCAATTTTTATGCTCCGTGAATTGGAATAAAAGCCTAATTGCTTAATTTTTTTTATCCAACTACTCCTAAAATTGTTTCTAAAACCTGTAGGATTTACACATTACAACACATACAATATGGGTATTGATTCTGTTTAAGAACAGAGGATTTCCTTTCCTTGGCTGCCTGACCTTGTTTCTCCTTTTAAAGTCCTTTTAAGTGATACAGACACAAGGTTTCCATTGGCTTTGACAAATGGCACACTTTAATTAGCTCTGTGGATTGCAGAGCCAGATCTTTGGATTGCTGTCTTTTGCTCTCTCACAAAGCTGAATTTCTGAAGCACAGCTGTCACATGGTAACAATAACGTAGTTTTCAGGGAAGGTAGCTTTAAACTCAGCTAAAACTAGGAAAAGCCTTTTAGTAAATATTCCTCCAAAGTACTATTAGTTCACTGAAAACTAGCAGACTCAGAGTTAACATCCTAATGTGATTAGCAGTCTCTTCATGAAACTTAGAAGTCCTCAGTGACATTCTGTGCTGTACTGCAGTTGTAAATAAGTACCAGGAATTAGATTTTAATGAGACCCAAGTTCTTTAAAATTAGGAGCATTGTCTTACGGTTCATGTTCTGTTACCTAGGTAAGACATTTTTTGTAGAGAGGTCATTCATGGCACTGTCAACCCTCCCAAACATGATTGAAAACAAGCTCCAAACTCAGAAAGCTGTTCAAGAGATGTCAAAATAGAGCCCACACTTCCAATATCATTTTTATGCTACAAAGAGGGTTTGATTGGACATCCATAGCTTGTGTACTTAAATTTTCACAAATACCAAGGTGATGTGATTATCTGAATTTTCAGCTAACAATAGGTTAATGATACTTTGTAGGTGGGTTTCTCAAGTAGGCATTGTATAAGCTGCAAGGGACAGGCCTAAGACGTGAAAGAGAGGGAAAAAGAAAAGAAGAGAGGGAAGAAGGAAGGGAGAAGAGAAAAAGGAAAGAGAAAGAAAGAAGGAAAGAGAAAGCGGGAATAAGGGATAAAAAATGTTTTCTGGGAGCTATTGAAAGCTGAGTTTAGTGCTTTTCAAATGACCTGTGGTAAAAGTCATTTCAAATTTCTTTCCTTCTTTCTTTCTTCCCTTCCTTCTTTCTTCCTTCTTTTATTTTTCTCCTTCCATCTCTCCCTTGTTCCCCCCTCTACTAACCTATTTCTTTATTCCTATTCCTACATCATCATAGACTATCTTGTAAGATGTAATAATAATAAATTACTGAAACAGTAAAATCAAAATTGTTTTACTAAGCTGAATATGTATATAATAATTTGTTAAATTGTTATAAACGTCTCTTAATACCTATTCTTAATTTCTGTTAATAATTTGCAAATGACATTTATCAGCAAGTCATTTGTAGAAAGATTTAATGTAATGACAAAGAGCTGCACACCATGTAAGACCTCTGAGAGCATGTTCCCTCTGTCTACTGCATTGATGCAAATCACCATTAGTATAATAAATCATCCAGTTCTGGCAAATTTATTATTGGTGATGCTAATACCCTTAAGCCAGGGCTCAATGGAAACACGTGCCACGAGCCAAACTTGTTTTATTCCTTTTTGCAGGGACAGAGAAAGAGATAGGGTAAGAGAGGCAGAAGGGGAGAAGGGAAGGAGAGAGGGAGACAGGGAGAGATGAGAGGTGTATTCTCTTAGCTAGAGGTTGAGTGCTAGAAAACTTCTTTGTAGGAAGTGGAGTTTGAGTAATGGAGGGAGGATCTAATAAAGCAGGAGTTCTCTCTAGCTTTGACGCTGTTAGAAACTAGGGCAAGCTGTGACAATGATACATACTCAATGCTAGAAATCCTTCTGGACTATTAGCTTTTGTAAATCGATGTCATTTGTCCAGCAGTTAGCATATCCACATCATAACAGAAAACTTATGCATACTCCTTTTCAATTTTACTTACATTTATTCATTTATTTAGCATTCACTAATGTACAAAAGGTTCTTTGTGTGACATTTCTATATGTGTATATGCAGTATGTTAATCAACATCCCCCTCTTTATCACTCTCCTTGATCATTGAACATGTGTCTTATTTTCCTCTTTCTAAATGTTCAGGTTACATCTTCATAGGTCCTCCATGTCTTCTGGGCTCTCTGCTCTTCTTCCTTCTCCAAAGTAAGGCTGGACTCAGCTATCTGAACCATGTTCTTAGCACAGCAGTAGATGCTAACACCTTAGCAATCCTCAAACTTTGGCTACCCATAATCAAGTCTTACCCTCTACCATTCTACAAGCTCTGACAAGTACATCAGAAAAACACACAGAGGAAAAAGACTCTTAGATTCATTTGTAATTTCAGACTGATCTGTGTTGTTGCTAAGAAATTCTCCTTTGCCCACCTGCCTCTTGTTCAAGCCCTTTTCTGAACTTATTTTTCTAAAAGCATATCCATCATAATCTTAGATTTCAGTAGCATACACAAAAATAAGATACAAATGAAAACAAGAAAGTAGAGAGACAATTCTAAGACTGGGTACTTTGTGAATGGATCAGTGACTTTGTTTTCCTCAGTGCTTAGAGAAAAACGTTAGGTTGCTTTGTACAGAATGGTGTCTGAGCCCTGTTTTCTGAGGATAATATTTTGCGAGTTTATGTCCAAAAGGAGATCAGAATGACCAGCTGTGGATATCAGACAAGCCTGTAATAGATGTCAAATCAGCCACAGATATCACAAGCCATGTTTTCAATGATAAGGAAAATGAGAGACCACTTTCTCAATGAAGAAAGAATAGGAAGAACAGCTTCATGTAAACCTGATATAAAATTTAAATCTTGTTCATTGTCTAATTTTGATCAAAGATGCTGGTGCTTAAGTATGGTAGCACAAGTATATTTTAACCTTCCTATATAGTCTGTGTAGCTATCCAGTATCTATATTTAAAAAGAAAAATTATTGATTGTTTTAAATTAATTAGTCAAGCCATTCCGAAGCTTCAAAACATACCTACTTCAGTATTATTTGGAATGAGTTTGCAACCTGAGAATTGCCAGGCATCTGGCTGGAGACTCTTAGGGCAATTTGAGAAGAAAATTTCATTTCTATGAGTTCCACTTTTTGGATAGGCTCCATCAGAAAGCAGAAAATTAGGTTATGTGTGCATTTACTGAAGTCAGCTTGTCTGTCTGATGCCTTATATTATTTTAAAATAGAGGTTTTTCTGTGAAATAATCTAATGTCCCAAACACTGATTTGTTTCTATTTGCTTTTCTAAGTTATATTTACACAGAGGGAGCAAGCTTGTGAAGACTTTTTCTTACTCATCTTACAGTCAATGACATAAATAAAATCAATACACATCTGTCTTGGACTTAACTAGATGCTAGAAACTGAAAATGTTTGAATTTGTACATGGATATCTGGCTTTTTTTAAAGAGTGCTCAGCATGAACATTGTTAAATTGTAGTTGTGATATTGTTTTGTAAATAAATAAGCATTATTAAGCCCTTTAGATTCTAATTCATTTTTTCTCTTGAGACAAGTTTTCTCTGTCTAGCCTATGCTAGCCTGGAACTCATGATCATTCTTGAGCTTTCCAGGTATTGGAATTACAGGCATGCACTGCCATGTGCACTTTAAAACTTTCTTTTATAACGGCACCTAATATCAACTATTCATAAAACAAAGTGTGTTTGAATCTTTGCTATGTCATCATTGTATACTGATGACTTCAGTAGAACAACCAACTAAATCTATGAAACCAGCAGGAAACACCATGAAGAAAAACAGATACAGCAGGCTACTTGTTATTTGATTTGTAAATATCTACTTAACAGACATTGGCCATGTGTATTTTCCTCTTCAAAGTTGAACTTCACTTTTTTTTTCTTTTAGTAGCCAGGATTTTGCACTTGCTAGGTAGGTACTTTATCACTTGAGCCATGCTGCCAGCCCTTTTTCACTTTCATTAGTTTTTGCATAGAATCTCACTGTTTTGCCAGGGCCCAGCCTTACACAGTGATCTTATCTATGCTTCCCATATCACTGCAATTGCAGACATGCACCACCATGCCTGACTTATTTGTTAAAATAGAGCCTTGTTAACTTTTTGCCCAGGTTGGCCTTGAACTTCAATCTTCCTGACTTCCCACTTCTGAATAGCTGGGATTTCAGGCATGAGTCACTGTAACTGATATAGAAAATCACATTTAAAAACTTATTTACTATTCAGTCTTTGTTCAGGCTTTCCCCTGGTCCCTACTTGTCAGAGAGAGCTAAGTCACACAGCAGTTGAGAAACATGATTTTATCTAATAGTTGTTCCTTCAAATTCACAGGGTTTTTGTCATTTTGTAGAACTGATGTCATTGAACACAATAGTCCCATGTGAAAGTATGTGCATTCGATTCAGATGAAGGTTATACACCTACAAAAATATACTTATGCATATTATTCCACTTGGTGAGACAGGAACTCTAAGAGAATATGCATTTTAATTTGTATATTTAAAATTTATTTTTATGTTTGTTCAAGTGGAAGAATTGTTTCCCAGATATACTTTTACATTTTAATTCCAGGACCATTTGCAATTTAATCAGGGAGGATATAAAGTTAACCACCTGCTCTGGCATTGTGTTGCCGCTTGGTCTTGTGTTCAGAATAATAGTCCTCAGCTGAATAATGTGCTGGAGCATCTCATCTCCCATAAAACACAGCTTCAAAACAAATGCTGGTAAGATGATCCTATAAATTCAGAGAAACCTTTGTGTTTAAATGTTAATCACACCTTGGTTGACTATGAAAAGAACTTATAATCTCACTTCTAAAGACAAGGGCAATTTATGTATTTTGTATTAATTCATATTATCGATAAATTGTTTTTATCTCTTTGGTTTTGCTTTGCTGGATATGCACGCACACATTTCATAGTTTGTCTTTATTAAATGAGATTTGTGGTTGATAAGAAGTTTCTTTTTGTAAAAACATCATTTATTTTCCACAATGCTAAATCATAACAATGAAGCAATTTATTATCATTAGAAGAAATATTCTAATATTTTATTTCTTTGTGCCTTATATACCAAAAGTGAATTTCAACTGGTAAATGTTAGTTTCCTCTAGCACATGTGCTTTTAAGAAAGTAAATAGAGCTGGGTGCTGGTGGCTCACACCTGTAATCCTTTCTACTTACAAGGCTTAGATCTGAGGATCACAGTTCAAAGCCATCCTAGGCAGGAAAGTCTGTGAGACTATTATCTCCAATTAACCATGAGAAAACGGGATGTGAAGCTACAGCTCAAAGTGGTAAGAGTGCTAGTTTTGGGTGAAAAAAACTCAGTGACAGCACCCAGGCTCTGAGTTCAAGTCCCAGGACTGACAAAAAAGAAGGAAGGAAAAAAAGAAAGTAGAAGTCTCAGAGTATTACAAGGGAGAGCATTGGTTTAAAGAAATAACTATTGTTGTATGTATATGCCAGTCTTGGGGCTTGGTCTCAGACCCTGGGCACTGTCTTGTGCTTTTGGGCTCTAGGCTAGCATTCTACCATGTGAGCCACAGCTCCACTTCCAGATTTGGGTGTTTAATTGGAAATAAGAGTCTCATAGACTTTCCTGCCCCAACTGGCTTTCAACTATGATCCTCAGATCTCAGCCTCCTGAGTAGCTAACATTACAGGCATGATCCACCTGTGCCAGCTAGGAATAAGGATTTTTAATTGGAGATTAATAATCACATATATCTTAATGGAGTACAGTGTGATATTATGATCTTGGAGAATGATTAGATCAAACTAATTAACATAAACATTACCTCACATAGTTATTTCTTTGCAATGAGAACACTTAAATCCACCCTCAGCGAGGGTAGATTCAGTAACACACCAGAAAGTACAGGAGACTATCAGAATTTAGTCCTGTATATCTGAAACTAACATCTCCTCTCTTTCTTTTCTGTGGCACCTCTCCAAGCTATACTCTCTACTTCTAAGTGCTTGAATATTTTAGATTTCACATATAAGTGAAATTTCATATTTTTCTTTCTGTGTCTATTTTTTTCTCTAAGTATAAAGTCCCCCAGTCACTTATACTCTCACTCAAAGGAAGATTTTCTTTTTTAAAAGTCTGAATTGTTCTCCATCATATATGTATGTATGTATGTACATATCAACTGATGTGATAGTTGACAATAACCAACAATAATAATGAACAATATTCTGATATCATTTGTTTTGGATATAACCATAAACAAACCACTCTACCTGGTACATTGATTAATTTTTTTAAAATTTCATTTTGGAGAGTCCATTTTAGTGTACAGACATGCTATTACATTTTTATGTTGATTTATTAGTTGTAAATAGTTTTTTTAGGTAGACTGCTCATGGTTTTGTGCATGTAAGATTATTTTGAGTTGGCAAGCAGAGAAACAATTAAACTTTTTCCTCTCTTTTTTAGATGACTTTTATTTCTTTTTTTCTTGCCAAAATATTCTGGTTAGGACTGTTAATACTGTCTTAAATAAAAATTATGAGAATGGATATCATTTTATTTCTAACTTTACATCACAAACTTTCAAATTTTTACCATTAGATGGCGCTGGTTTTGGACATGTCACACACCTGATGTTTACTTGTTAAAAATCTTTAAAATATTATTTTGAACAAATAGATGAAAAGTTATTCCTTTCTAATATTTGTGGAAGATCAGTTTTGAATTATTTTTTTCCATGATGATGCTGTTTAACAATAAGACAATAATCTATCATGTCATTACAAATTGAAAATTCAATTATGTTTTTAACAAATATCATTTTTAAAGCTCCTATTAGCTCATTTGGCATCAAACTCCATTGTATATGTAAATTCTGACTTTCTCAGAATCAATTGTAGATCCTAACAAGAATCTGGACTACTTTTGTTTTGAGAAGCATTTTCTGGCTTCTGGGATCCTGGATGAAGTAAAGATTCTCCTAGAAATAGTCTATGTTAGAACTCACTCTCATATCCTGAGGGGAGAAGCCCACTCAATATGGCAGTTAAAAGACTGTGACTCTTCTACAGTTTGTAACCAGGGAAAGTATCTAAAATTAGGAAAATAAAGTTTCAAAGTAATAGAGCACATTTATTATAATAAACATAAACAATATAATAAACCTAAATAAATAAAAATAAGATTATGTTATTATAATATAGAAGTCCTAAATGTATTAAAAATTAGAAGATCTATTTCATTTAAATTAGGCTATTGTGGCAACAGTAATGGTCATTTCTTAGGCCATTCCAAATTATACAATGTAAGTTATAAGAGATTAAAATATATGATTAAATTTCAATGGAAAATAATTAGAACTATGTCAATCCTTAGAAAACTTTAAGTCTTTATCCCATTTATTATTTGGGTTGTTTTTCTTTGAGGGTTTATTTTGTGTAGGGGGGTTATTTTTTTGAGCGGTAAGCATATTTTAGATATGAGATCCTTGTCTGATACATAGTAGTAAAAATCTTCTACTGTGTGTGCTTTCTATTTATCTTGTTAGCTATGTCCTTTGCCATACAGACACTCTTCAGTTTGATGCAATCCCATTTATCTAGGGTTTCTTTGATTTACTGTGATTCTGGATCTTAGGAAATTTCTACTTGTGTCTAGGAGCTCTAGTGTTTATCCAACCCCTTCCTGTAATATTTTCATGATATTTTCATGATATCTGGCCTTACTTGAGGTCTTTGATCCATTTGGAATTGATTCAGCTGCAGAGTGATATATAAGGATCTAGCTTCAGTTTTCTGCACATGTATAGCCAATTCTACCAGCACTATTTGTTGAAGGGGCTTTCTTCCAACCTGTGCTCTTTTATTAAATATTAGGTGGGTATAGGTATGTGGGTTCATTTCTGGGTCTTCTATCCTGTTCCAGTGGTCCTCAGGCCTATACTTGTGCCAAACAAATGAGTTATCACTTTGAAATCCTCACTAGAGAATATCATCCTTTAATGTTTTTGTATGTATGCATATGATCATGTATATGCTTACATATTAATGTATACATTAGGTCTAACTTCCACATATGAGAGAAAATACATGTCCTTATCTTTCTGAGCTTGACTTACTTAATCTTTATGGGTCCATTTATTTCCCTGAAAATGACATAATATTCTTCTTCTTTATAGATGAGCAAAACTTCATTATATATAATACATATATGCATACATAATATATTTACATAATATATATCACATTTTCTTGATCGATTTGTCAATTGTAATTCATCTGGGCTATATCCATTACTTAACTATAGTGAATAGTGAAGCAATGAACATAGGTGTTTAAATGTCTTTGATATATATCCTGACTTGTAACATTCTGCATAAATGTCCAAGAGTAGTATGGCTGAATCATAGGAGAGATCTATGTTTAGTTTTTTTTTTTTTAAGGAATCTCCAAACTACCTTCCATAGTTGTTGCCTTAATCTTTCCCCCTCAAAACGTGCACATACACTCTGCTGCCAGGATCATAACACGAGTATCAATTTGCTCCTTTCTAGCTTAAAATTATTTAACATTTTTACACAACACAGAAGTTGCAGCTTCAGTACTGGCAACAAAAGAACTGCATTTCTTGATTATATGTTTCTTTTGGTTGCTTCATTATAGCAGTAGGCCTAAGTTTTACAACATTTCCTCAAAATTATGGTAGAACTTTCACGATTGCCCTCTTCCAAGTGGCAGTCCTGTAGTTCACTTTCTGTACTATGGAACTTAATTTCATTTTGTAATTTTAATTCCCTTGCAGTCTTTTTTCTTACTTCATTATTTCATCTCAATATCAAGGCTTTGATCAGGTTCTCTTTAGGAAGAAGGGAAAATCTCTTCTTGCTGAACTTTATAAAAGATATTGAAAAGCTTTTTGAAGGTATCTGTGGTTCCTGTAAGAAATCTTTTTGGAGTTATGATCTTCTTTGAGTATTGACACTGATATTCTTTCATCTTTGCCATAATATGTATTTTCATTTATTCTGGAGATGTCTTCTTCAATTTTTCATTTTACTAATTCAGAAGTCAAGGAAATACATTAAAAACTTGATCTTTTTAAATGAGTTTGTGTTCACAGAAGTTAAAACTCTCAATTTTTGTTCATTTTATTTTTTTAAGTTCTATTTTACTTTTTCTTTTCTTTCTTTCTTTCTTTAGACTTTGTTATATTTCACAGGTTGATTTGGAACTCACTCTATTCCTGCCTCACTCTACTGATGCTGGGAGTACAGATGCGACCACAATATTTGGCTTTCTTTTTTTTTCCAGGGCTGAGGACCGAACCCAGGGCCTTGCGCGCGCTGAGTGGGCGCCCTTCCGCTGGGCTAAACCCCCAGCCCCTGGTTTTCATTTTTTTTAAACAAAGCACTTTTAAGTTTTAAAAAATTATAAGAGTAGCATGTACAATTATTATAGAGCCTCTATTCTTCTTATTCATTAGTAGTTTACTCATGATGACAAAATGTACCTCTGTGTTCCAATTCTGTAGCTTCTTTTTGCTCCTTCCTCATCCCTTATAAGCACTATTTTCTATACTTTATAACACCTGGATGTATCACCTCAGAAGACATATGGAGAGACAAAGATGAAAAGAATGATTAATACTCTAATACATTAAAATCAGTATCTCAAGGCAAATGATTGGCTGTACTCTTTCTGATTCTATGAACCATGAGTTTACTTTTCTCTAAATGTTTTCACTTTACTTTCTTTCGGGAAACAAGATTGTTGTATCTCAGGATGTTTCAGGTGGTATGCCATTTTGATTCTCTTCAGCTCTATTGACTTTGTGGTTTTGTGAATATAAGTGGTGTCTCAGTAACCTCTTTTTTATTGTTAGTTTTCAAGATTGTGATTTAAAAAAATGTTGTGTTTTCTAAAATACTCATTGTCAAGAATAGAATAAGGAGTATAAGGTTAGAGATATTTTAATTCCATATTTTTAAAATGACAATCAGATATTTATAGAGGAGTAAAGATAACCAATAAAGGCCTTTCGATGATTATATTCCTTTTATAAGTGTGTGTCTAATAGGTATTATTGTTAACCATTTTTGTATTTTTTCAGTTATGGGATATATTTACATATATACATTAAATATATTTTTTATTTTATTTATTTTTTAATTTATATTTATATTTTTGTATTTTTTCAGTTATGGGATATATTTACATATATACATTAAATATATTTATACATTAAATATATTTATATTTAATGTATGTATACATATATACACATGTATACACACACATATATATATATATATATATATATATATATATATATATATAGCATTTTAAATTTCATGGCATTGTTAAACCAAGTCAATGTAGTGATTATTGAGATTTCTGTATTATAATAGTGAGTTCTAAAAGAAAGGTAGTGCTGCATTAAAACTTCTGTCCTAATCCCACTTGATTTCTTTTTTTCTATGTACATTGATTTCCCCTTTGATTTTTACCAAACTCAAATTTAGAGTTATGCTTCTATTCTATTTTTGGCAGAAGCATTTTCACTTAGAGGAAATTTTGCAGTCAGCAACATTGATTTAAAATAGTGTATGTCTAGTGATGCAGTTTTTCAGAAGGCTGATACTGATGTTAGTTTTTAGTCCATAGTTAGGTGAGCATACTCCAGGTTAGATAGAGCTGTCTAGACATAACAGAAAAGAAGAACCCGAAATATTATTATAATGATGAAGAAAGGCAGTATGGTGAGTTCTTTGACTATATCCTCTTCCACATGTCCAATATCGTGAAGAACATATGCACTATATTGGGAATCACTGTCCCTCTTGGAGGTCCTCCCTTCTGTCAGCCATCCTGAGACATTATAGGGAAAGTTACTAAAACCTGTTTTTGTTTTTAACTTTGAAGAAACAGTAATTTGATTCAGTTCAACATTTTGAGCCTAGTCATTTTATTAAAATATTTTATTTATATGTCACAATAACCTCTGGGAAAAGTATATTTTGCTTTAGTTGCTTTATATAAATTAATTAATAGTGAGATAATTTATCCTACCTAATAGTGGAAAAGTAGGATCTTGTTGGGATTTTTCTGACTCTAAAGTTCATGCTGATTAGCATCATGTTAGATGTATCAGTTAGGATTTGGTCTTCTGCATATGACAGAAAGCTGACAACATTTGCATCACCAAATATGGCTTTACTTATTGCCCATGACAAGCTGCGCTATGCATATGCAGATTGTTAATGAAATCCTCAGGACTGAAGCTCCTTCTTACAGTCTTTCTTGCCATCTCTAGCCTGTGACTTTCAGTCTCATTGCTGAATGATGGAAGTTATGCCTTCTGTTTTCAAGTGATCATTCCAAGCATGCAAAAAAGGATGGCCAAAGGAGGAATGATATGATATCCAAATTTAATTATTCTTCTACAGTTACCTAGTGCCTTTCATAATATGCTTCTATTTGTATTTCATTGATTAAATCTATATCACATGGTTCTTCTAAGTTTAAAATAATTAATTTTCAATCACATTACTGAAATATAATTTAGATGCAATAATATAAACATCTTTTCTTTGCCTCAAAGTACTGTGGAAATCAGGGCCTTCTGTGATCTATCACTTGCACCACCCCTACCAAATTTGTGTTTTTAGTTTGTTTTTCAGCTAGGATCTGACACTTTTGCCCAAACTGTCCCCAGGCTGTAATCAGCTTCTCTATCTCCCAAGTAACTGTGATTACAGGCATATCTTAGGAAGCTAAGCTCAGCATTGACATTCTTTATATACGTAGGTGTATGACTTTTGACAAATGCTACATTCATCTAATCACTACTCCACTCAACATAAAACATTCTATTTTGAGGTAGTAACCTGAACTGAGTGTTTCATTATCTTGGAAAAAAATCAAATTAAGCGAAATGAACCCCACAATAGGGACACAAGTGATTTTTTCTTCCTTGCTATTGTTTTTAACTTATTTATAAGGTACCATGTGATTTTTTGTTGCTTTGTATGCCCCTCCCTCACTGTATAACCCCTGTTTTCACTGTATTTGATGTTGGTATAATTTGGGGAGGGGAAGGGAAAAAGCAAATTGTTTAAATAGGGATACAGATTGACCCATTGCAACAATGAGATGTACAAGATGCATGTTAAAAAACGAACTTTACAATTTATGCAAGTGTGGGGGTGGGGGTGGGTGGGGGGTGTAGCTGAGGAGGTGGAAGGGAAGGGATGGTAAGGGAAAACAAAGGAAGAGGAATGTACTCATTACCTTGCTCAAACTGTAACCCCTCTGTACAGTATTTTCACAATAAAAAACTTAATTAAAATCAAATTGTATAGGTAGACAATAGTCAGAACATGCCACACTAAATTTTAATATTGAAGTATTTAAAATAATAGAAAAGGATTAGAAAGCATGAAATAACCATATATTAGGAAAGCCATCAGTTACAGAAAACCAGACAGCATGTACTAGTCTCACAGACTTACTATGTCTCCATTTCTTTTTTTTTATTGTCAAGGTGATATATAGAAGGGTTACAGTTACATAAGTAAAGTAATAAGTACATTTCTTGTCAAATTTGTTACCCCGTCTCTTATTTTTCCCATTTTTCCCTCCTCTCAACTCTCCCTCCCCCTGCAAGTTGTACAGATCATTTCCAACATATTGTCTTGTGTATATTGCTGTTACATTGGTTCCCCCCTTGCCCTTTGTCTCACCATTCTGTTGTTCCCCTTCCCTTCCCTAATTCAAATAAACATATGTCCAATACTAGGGTACCAAAATCAAATACAGTGACAATAGGGGATATACCATAGGGGGAAGAACATACAAAAGAAACAAAAAATCACATAGTACATTAAAAAAAACAACACAGAAAAACATCTTGTGTTCATGTCTTGGTGTTCATTTCACTTAGCATCATCTTATGTGGTCATATGTACATCGCTATTGAGGTATTCGTTCATCTGCTAAGATTATCCTAGACATATAAAGGAAACCATGGGACCTATGTTTCTTTTTTTTTCTTTTTGCTTATGTGGTGCTGAGGAATCGAACCCAGGGCCTCAGGCATGCAAGGCAAGCGCTCTACCATTGAGCCACCTTCCCAGCCCCAGGACCTATGTTTCTTTGGGTCTGGCTTACTTCACTTAAATGATTTTTTCTGTCTTTCCATTTTCTAAGAAGTGGGGCGGTGCCATTCTTTCTGATGGAAGCATAGAATTCCATTATATATATGTAATATATATAATATATATACATTTTATATATAATGTATATATGTATCTATATACATAGATACACATAAGTGTATATATAGATACATATATGCATATAGATAGATAGACATAATTCGATAAAAGTAGTTGTTCTGGTAGCTTTAGTATGGCCTTGTTTGTGATCATTTGGGTAAATGCCCAAAAGTGGGATTGCTGGGTCATAGGGGAGCTCTATGTGGAGTCTTTTGAGGAACCTCCATACTGCTTTCCAAAATGGTTGAACAAGTTTACACTCCCACCAACAATGCAGTAAGGTTCCCTTCTGGCCACATTCCCTCCAGCATCTGTTGTTGTTAGAGTTCTTGATTATAGCCATTCTAACTGGGGTGAGGTGGTATCTCAATGTAGTTTTGATTTGCATTTCTTTTATGGCTAGAGAGGTTGAGCACTTCTTCATGTGTCAATTGGCTATTCTTATTTCCCCTTCAGAGAAGTCTCTCTTTAAGTCTTTAGCTCACTTATTTACCAGGCAGTTGTTTCTTTGAGGATTTGTTGTTGGGGATTTAATTTCTTTTTTTAACCAATGCCAATTAATCTTTACTGAAAAAAGACATACATGGGCTAAGCATTTATTTCCTCTGTTCTAATATGTTCTTTCACTAAAGTTTAATTATTATTATTTCCATTCATGTGTTTACCATTTGCTTATAATCCAGGCTAGATACAGAACTGGCTTTGCTTGTCCTTGGGGAGGCTGCCAAATTGAACATGGCCTGCTTGAAGACTTTAATGGACCTAATGAAAGACTTTCTTTCAAACATTTTGTCTACTCAAAGTCAGGTAACCTATGGCTAATTTAGTTGAGGAATAGAATTATATTTCATTTGTGCCATTATTTAAATTGTATTTCATAGTAGGATATACAATATGTACAACTTTGTAATCATAGCTTTAATGTGCATATACTATAACAATATACATTATTATAGTTTTATTGTCATATATTATTAAAATTTCTATTTTACTGACATTAATATTCTTCTTTGTCATTACATTTGATTAAAATTTGTATTTTAGTGGAAGTGATATTTAACTCTTTACTATTTAACATTAACTTTGTTCCTAATTGTTCACAGATAACAAAAAATTATGTTTTGTTTTTGCAGTGTTGGGTTTCAAATTCAGGATCTCACACTTGCCAGGCAGGTGCTCTACCACTTGAACCTTAGCCCATGATGGAAAGTAGTGTTCACAGGGCATTTTTAAACATAAAATTTTATCTGCATTTATTACGAGTTTTTGGATTAAATAAAGTCAAAATACTGAAAGACTATAAACATTTGTTAAAGATTTTTGGGTAGAGAGTGTAACAGATACTAAGCTGATAAATTCAGATACAGTACTTGATCTTTTAAAAAATTTATTGTCAAGGTGATGTACAGAGGGGTTACAGTTATATAAGTAAGGTAGTGATTAAATTTCTTGTCTAACTTGTTACCGCTTCCCTCATTTTTCTCCCTCTTTCTCCCCCCAACCCCTCCAAGTTGTGTAGATCATTTCCAACATATTGTCTTGTGAGTATCGCTGTTGCATAGGTTCCTTCTTTGTCCTTTGTCTTACCATTTTGTTGTTTCCCTTCCCATCCTAGATAATACTTGATTTTAACATATTGTAGCTGAGATCTTTTGTAACAGATGCTCAAATTCTTCTCCAAAAGATGTCATTATTTTGTTTTCCTATGAAATACATATTAAACTAGTAAATAGTAGAAAAGATTATTTTCTAATGTGCTATAGAAAGGAACATTTTATTTGATTAGTTTACATTTCATTGATTGAAAAGTTCTTTTTTTTAAAAAAACTATGTTTTATTAGGGTTTTAACTCAGATTCTAGTTCTGGCTAAATCTATGCTCTAACATTTCAGCCATAGTTCAGCATCTGTTTGTTTCAGTTTTTACAGATAAAGTTTCTTGCTTTTTTTTACTAGCCTATCTCTGACTATGGTCCTCTGACTCTTCTTCCATGGGGCTTGAACTCTGGGCTTGGGCGCTGTCCCTGTGCGCTTCAGCTCAAGGCAAGTGTTCTACTGCTTGAGCCACAGCACTACTTCTGGTTTTCTGGTGGTTTATTGGAGCTAAGAGTCGCTAGGACTTTCCTGCCCGGGCTGGCTTTGAACTGTATCCTGAGATCTCAGCCTGTTGAGTAGCTAGGATTATAGGCGTGAGCCACTGGCACCTGGATGAAAACATTTTTTTGTTTTAAATATAATGTATATAGGATTTAATCATAATAGGATATATTTTCATTACCTATTTTTTTCTTATTTCAGGGAGAAAGTTATGAGAAAGATTGTCTTTCTTGGGCCTGGAATATAGTCTATATATACACAACGATTATTGCAGAAATCTGCTTGTATGCAGCTACTTCTGATTTGCGAAAAACTGCTTTAATTGGGTTCTGTTACTGTAAGAGTGCACAAAAATCTTATTTCCCAATGGAAAAATCAGAATACCCAGAATTACGGGAAACAAGTATTTTAAGTCTTTTGGAGTATTTCTCTTCAAAACTGTCAGATAATTGTAAGTAAGTTACTTTTCACCTCAATAAGTAATATTTTCTAAGTGTCCACATATAATACTAAACTTTCATCTAGAAGTGAGAAATAATCTCAAATCCAGTAGGACATCCTAGGGGCAATATTTTATAAAGTGGAATTTTTTACCAATAATTTTGAAATAACTAAAGTATAGGCTAGACTTGGTTGATTTATGATTCAAATAATATAATTTGGATAGAAAAGGTAACTTCAGGAATTGTGATGAGTATATAAGTTAATCTTCCAGGTTTGTTCTTTTCCCCTAAGGTTTTTATTCCTTCCCCATATTTTCAAATCACCCACTGTTTCTTGTCCTTCCCTTGGAGGATTTCTCTTCCATCCTCACTCAAATACTGTCATACATTCTCCACCCCATATTCTAGTGCTCAGTCATCTGTGTTGCAAGTGGTTTTTAAGTAAACTGCAGCAGATATTAATTTTACTCTTAAAACCTTGTTCACACATCTAACATTACTATCTATGCTTTTGATTTCATTAACAGACAAACAGTTACTATTCCATCCTATATTGCTGTAATTCTTAAATTTATTGTCAAAGTGATGTATGGGGGGGTTACAGTTATGTAAGTAATGAGTATGTTTCTTGTTGAACTTGTTACTCCCTCCCTAATTTTTCTCCCACTTTCCCTTCCCTCATGCCCTCCCCCAGTTATACAGATCATTAGTTGTACCGATCATTTCCAAAATATTTCCTTGTGAACATCACTGTTGCATTGGTTTTCCCCTTCGTTATTGTTATTCACCTTTCCTTCCCTTATTCAGATAAATGTATATATAATACCCATGGTACCAAAATCAAATACAGTGACAACAGGAGATAAACCATAGGGAAGAAAATAGAAAAGAAACAAGAAATCACATAATACATTAAAAACAACAACAATAAAGAAAAAACTTCTTGTGTCCATATCTTGGAGTTCATTAAGGGACTTTTTTTTTGGCAGGGGAGGGGGAGAGTGCTGGCCCTGGGGAATTAAACTCAGGACCTGGGAGCTGTGCCTGAGCTTTTGTGCTCAAAGATAACATTCTACCAATTGATTCACAGCTCCACTTGTGTGTGTGTGTGTGTGTGTGTGTGTGTGTGTGTGTTTAATTGGAGATAAGAGTTTCATAGACTTTCCTGCTGGGGCTAGCTTCCAAATTCAATCCTTAGATCTCAGCCCCCTGACTAGCTAGGATTACAGGTGTGAGCCATTGACAACCAGTTTAACACATGATTTTTTAAAAGTTTTTTTTCCTTCCTTCCTTCCATCCTTCCTTCCTTCCTTTTATCCTTCTTTCCTTCCTTCTGGATCTTCTTATGTAGCCTATGCTAGTTTTGAACTCATTTCCTCCTGCTGCATAGTACCATACTCAGTTAAAATCACTTTATTAAGATGTATCATATTAAAAATTTTATTTATATCACAGACTTTTTTTGAGAAAAGGCATTAAAATATCTAAAAACTTTGAAAAATACTTGGTACATAGTAAAGACTAAACTGTTAGTATGTGTTATGGTTAATTACTTAATTTTAGCCCCATTTCGTTAATGATTATGATGTTAAAGCATCAATATAGATGGATTTTTTCCTAACAATTATTTTTGTGTACTTGGAGATTATTATTTATACATTAAGATATAAATGATAATGATAAATACATTACATATATGACTTTTTTCTTTTATTTGGTCGGTCTTGGGGCTTGACTCTTGGCCTGAGAGCTGTCCTTGAGCTCGTCAGCTCAAGGCTAGCACTCTCCCATTTGAGTCACAGTGTCACTTCGGTTTTCTGATGGTTTATTGGAGATAAGAATCTCACAAACTTTCCTGCTCGGGGTGGCTTTGAACCTTGATCTTCAGATCTCAGCCTCCTGAGTAACTAGGATTACAGAAATGAGCCACCTGAGCCCAGTTATAACTTTTTAATGAAGATATTAATCAGTGCTTTTCAGAATCATTTTTATGTAAAATCTTCATTGGAAAAAATAATTTTAGTCATAGTTCTGTGAAAGAATTGTTACAAGAGACTAATGATTTCCTTGAAGATCATTTTCAGGTAATATCTGATGTAGTAGCATAACTCCAAACATTCAGAGGGATGAAGGGACCTACTTAACATATCTATTTTCCACTCAGAGATTATGTATCAGGCTAGATTTTTACATAAAATCAGATGTTTATTAACAATAGTTCAATATTAATATTAATTCAAGTAAAGTTTCTGGCCAGTTACTGAAGTGCTAAGTTTCAATTTTTTTCTAAATTATTGTTTTTTTAAACTTTATTTTATTGTGAAGATGTACAGAGGAGTTACAGTTACATGAGTAAGGCAATGAGTACATTACTTGAACATTTTTACCCCTCCCTTGTTCTCTCACTATCCCTTCCCTCCCCCACTCCACCTTCCCCGCCCCTCCCCCCCAAGTTGTAAAGTTCATTTCCAATATACTGCCTTGTGGGTATCATTTTTGCCATGGGTCATCCTGTGTCCTTGTTTCACCATTTTGTTACTCCCCTTCCCCTCCCCAGATTAGACACATGTATGTATATACAAGATGCACTGTACCAAAATCAAGTACAGTGACAACAGGGGATATGCCATAGGGGAAAGAACATACAAAGGAAACAAAAAAAATCATGTAGCACATTTAAAACAACAACAACAACAAAGACCTCTTGTGTCCATATCTTGGGTTTCATTTCATGTAGCATCATCTTATATGATTGTATGTACATAGTATTTGAGATTTTCAGCTCATCTGATAAGATTATCCTATATGTGTCCTAACTATTGCAAAAAAGGGAAACCTAAATGGGACTTAAATTTCTTTGGGACTGGACTGGCTTACTTCACTTAATATGATTTTTTTCCAAGTCTTCCCATTACCTAACAAGTGGGGTGGTGTCATTCTTTCTGATGGAAGCATAGAATTCCATTATATATATATATATATATATATATATATATATATACATATATATATATATGTATATATATACACATATGCACATCTCACATTTATTTGATTAATTAATTGATTTTTTTCCTGGTATTAGTGTTTGGGTTTTAAACTCAAGATCTTGTATTCTCTAGACAGGTCCAATGTCAGGGCTTGAATTGTGAGCCTCATGCTCTTCTTTCTCACATCTGGTATTCTACCACTTGAACCATGCCCCATCTCTGTTTATTTTTGTTCATCTGATTTATTTTTTGTGTGCCAGCCCTTGGACTTGAACTCAGGGACTGGGTGCTGTCCTTGAGCTTTTTTGTTCAAAGTTATCACTCTACTACTTGAGCCACAGCTTCATTTCTGGCTTTTTGATGGTTCATTGAAGATAAGAGTCTCATGGGCTTTCTTGCCTGGGCTAGCTTTGGACTGTGATTCTCAGATCACAGCCTCCTGAGTAGCTATGATAACAGGTGTGAGCCACTGATAGCAAGCTCCCCATCTCTGTTTATTTTGAAACTCACAGACTTCTCTGCCTGGACTGGCCTCAAACCACAATCCTCCTGGTTTCGTCTTTCTGAATAGTTAGTTGACATATGTCACTAGTGCCTGGCCTGACTCATTTTGTTCCTGGTTATTTTTTCAGATAGGGTCTCAATTTTTACGCAGGTGCACAATGGATTATGTGCTTTTCCACATAGTTGATGAAAGCAGTTGCATGTCACCATATTCAGCTTCTTCAATGAAATTGAGTCTCATGGACTTTTTATTTACCTGTGACCTCTCAGTCTCAATCTTTCACCTAGCTGGGATAGCAGGCATAAGCCGCCAGTGTTAAGCTTCAATGATTTATTTAATATAAATTTCTATTTATGTGAATTACTATCACATACGCATTTAACCTTTCATTGAGACTCGGAACCTGATTTCATTATTCTTTTTATGAAGTGCCATCCCACGTACCTTTCAGTGTAGTTGGGCTGTAGGCAGGTTTGAATATTTGGAACTACCTGAAAAGATCCTGATTTGAAATTGAAATTGTGGCAGCATGGTCCACAGAGGAGATTATTTTGAGCTTCAAATATATGAGGGAAGGTGATAAAAATTTTATTTAAGCACACAGAACTTTTGCTTGATCCTTTTGAGATTCCAATTTTGAGAAATAGTTTGTCTTCCTGTATTATAGAAGATAATTCCAATGAACTTTTATTGAGTTCTAACTATGCACTTTCGAGGCATTTAACTTATATCACATAACTCGTAAGTCATTATAACAAGACTATAACATAGCCATATCTCCATTTATAGATGAGAAAACTGAGACACTAGAGTATTGCAATTAGTCAGTGACACATTTGAGACATAGCATAGGAAATCTGGTTTCAGAATACATGCTGATATCTACCTCACTATACTAAGCTAAAGAGGAAAGTTAAAAATTTCAATTTTCTTAAATTGCCCATCTGTGTATTTTAAAATTCAAAACAAGTGAGAAATTCTGTCCCCTACAGCACTGTTGGTGACTGCCTTCTTCCCAATGCACACTCTGGGGTTTGGTTCTAGAGTTTTGGATTAGTTGTTTTCCAGGATTTTCATCACTGAACAAGTTCTACATGATAGCTTGTATGAAGGTTACCAGTCAATATTACTTATAATTTTACAAAGAGACATCCTTGTATGATATCTTTAAAACACAAAACACAATCTTCCTGTATTCCTATTTTGGGGTAACAATGCTAAGTGATAGACTTCAGAATCTGTGATAACAAAACTTGGAAATTATATATTCTGTAGGGAACCAGTGGACACTGATTTTAGTGTCTTTTGTATGAGAAAGTTAAATGTTTAACAATAGATAATGAATCGCAGAACCAAAAATATCTTAGAGTAGTAAACCTATTTTCAATCATATAGTACTAATTTAATGTGCAAATCTCTTCTAGATCATTGTCCAAGAGTGAACAGTTCAATTTCCTTGAACAAGCAACAAAAATGTGAAAGTCTTCATTTCCCAAAGCAGGTCATTCCATTT